GCATTGACCCAAAGGTTGGGTGTGCAGTAAAGGCAATGATCCGAAGGAGTGGGTGTGTCATGAAGGTGGCGACCCAGAGAGTAGGTGTGTCGAGGAGGTAGTGACCCGACGGGTGGGTGTGTGTGTCGTGGGGGTAGTGACCCAAATGGTGGGTGCGCCGAGGAGGCAGTGGCCCAAAGTGTGGGTGTGCCGACGAGCCAGAGACCCAAAGTGGTGGGTTTGTTATGGAGGCAATGGTCTGGAGGTTGGGTGTGTCGTGGAAGTAGTGATCCAAAGAGGTGGGTAGGCTATGGAAGCAATGTCCCAGAGGGTGGGTGTGTCAAAGAGGCACTGTCCCGGAGGGTGGGTGTGTCGTGGAGACAGTGACCTGAAGGTAACCTACGACAATCCAATGTGGTTTCACAAGACGAGAAGGTGAAGGAATTCTCCTTGATGATAATTACGCTCCAGGTAGGCTTGATGTGGTCATCTGGTCACATGATGTGTGAATGTGCGGGAAAAGTGTATGAGTACACAAATCCAAATGCACGACAATCCAACTCCAATCTGGTCACATGATGTGTGAATATGCGGGAAAAGTGTATGAGTACACAAATCCAAATGCACACAACTTCAAGCATGCAAATCAAAAATATGCAAGATGTCATGCGAGAAAACACACAAAAGTGCACATGTGTAGGTGTATACATATAGAATGTGATGCACTGTGATGTAGGGATGTCACAAGATTAGCATGAAAGGTCATGCCAAAGAGGGGCATAACCGCCTATCACTAGCATATGGGGGCACATGCTCTTGGATGCAAAACTGAGTGCGTTGTGTGAGTGTATTCAAACAAAAAGTAAGAAACAAGCATGCAATGATGCAACATTCAACAAAAAACATTCGGTTGGAATGATCGCGCTCATGGGGTCAAACAGACAAACCGACGAAAGATATCGATCTACCTGATCTGGCGAGTGGAGCCGCTAGAGCGAGTTAATAAAATATTGTTGGTCTCACCGATCGGTCCGGTGGGGCTAATCAGGCGAGCCCACAAAACATATCGATCAATCTGATTGAGCTGGTGCGGCCGGTCAGACAAATCGATAAAAGATTGTTAGTCGCATTGATCGAGCCAGTGGGGTCGATCGTATAGTCGACGGAATACATCGATTGATCTGATCAAGCCATTGCAGCCGATCTAACTGGGGGTGTAAACAAGTCTAGTCGAGCTTTAGCCACCCTCGACTTGAGCTTGAGTTTGATTACTTTTATTGAGTTCAAGCTCGAGCTCAACCTTAAGTCCACGAGTGTGAGCCGGCTCACGAGCTGGCTCACGAGCCGGCTTGTTTACTATCAAAGAGAGAAAACAATATTAATTTAAGTTAAGATTATAATAGAATGACTAATATTGTGAGCAATTTGGAGAAAAAAATAAGAAATCATTTAAAATTAAATAGAAATTTTATATTTCAAATAATTTTATTACTTTAAAAATAAAATCTTCAAATTTATTATATTTTATGTAAATTTTATATTAATATTTTCTTAAACCCACCAGCTCACGAGCTAACGAGTCGAGATAGGGCTAGCTTGAGCTTGGCTTGTTAGCTCATCGAGCTCCGTACAAGAGTCAATTATTGAATCGAGCTCCAGCTGGCTCATGATTCGGTTTGACCCACACCCCTAGATCGGACGAGTCGATGAAAGATTGTCAGTCTCGTCCATCGGGCCGGTGGGGCCGATCGGGCGAGCCGACGGAACACATGCAATAATTGATAATTTTATGCACATTTTGAAAAATCCATGCAAGACAAGCAAAACAATGCAAATGAGAACAACATGCATATGAAAATAAGATACGATCATCGTTAGCTACAAAGCCGACTCACCTTAACTATCTCACAGGTCATCCTAAGGGCTGTCGACGGAGCAAAGTGAGCCTCACTACAAAGCGACGGTGGTCGCCTCCATTTGCCTGGTCCGAGGAAATTTCATGGGACAAGTCTTCGCAGCGTAAGGAACGCCAAAGTCATGGGACTTTTCGTTCTCTACGCCTAAAAGACGTGTTTCGCTCCCCTCCTTCGTGGGAATGAAGTTGTTGGCGCAAACGCAGGTTATGGTGACCCCAGGTGTTGAGACTTTGTGCTAGAAAGGAGAAAAGGTAGGTTTTGCTCATGGGAATCGCAAGGCAATTGCAAAATTTCCTAATCTATGAGGCTTCCTCTAGGAAATAAACAACCAATAAATAGATGTATAGCTGTGCTGACTTGTGTCGGCCGACCAATTTGTCTAGCATGGGCAATCGAACTCATCACAGCATCACAAGGCGTATGGTCAGAAAGACCGATATCGTTCGGCCAATCAGATTGTCTGATAATGGGCAATTGATTGAATCGAACGATACCAGATGGCCAACCAAATACTCCTTGTGTGCGAGTCCAAATCTACAACACCTAGTAACATCTATTCTTAGGGCTGGCTAAGAAAGAAAATGCAAAGGGTTTGAGGAGTTTCACCTATGCGAGGGTTGATCGAAGTGTTTCTTCTCATATTCATCAAGTCGGTACCGGACCTAATCTCGTGCTTGGGGCACGTACTAGGGTGTCTGATTGGATGTCTTGGATGGAGGGAAGTTGGGCACACTCTCATATTATTTAAATAGACACCCCTTGTACGTGGCATCAATTTTTTATGCCAACAATCGTAATTTAATGATTTTATTTGGCAACAAATCATTCAATTCAAGCGCTCTTGTCATAGCTACTATTTTGTTGGAGCTGGGAGGGAG